TAAACATTTGCATTTGAATGTTAGGTGTGCATCAGGGAGCGTCATCAGTGGCGCGCGAGATGCAGTGATAATGATGTAAGTGACGTTGTTGCATTTTAGGGCTGTCAAAATGACTGAAAAACTAAATTCGAACTTTCCACTTAAATATAATCAAAATTCGAATTATATTCTAATTTAAAAGGCGTAATTTCAGTTAGGGGGAAAAAAGCTTTTGGCTTCTCTCCTGAGGCCACAAGAGGGCGCATCGAGCAAAATATTATGCACGTTTCTTCAAAGCGTAATAAAATAACATGACTGTCTTTGAAAAAAGTGCATGTTTAAAATAATGTTTATAAACTATATATAGTTAATAAAGTTGCTTAAACAATTACAAAAAAACCCAGCACCATGCATGTATGTATAGTTTAATACAAAGGACCGAAAACCAATCACAAAGATTAGGCTACTTTCTTCATTTAAAAACATGAGATACAGTGGGATGGGGGAAAACCGCCATAACGTCTTTAGACATGTTTTTAAAAAGTTGAACTTACATTAATTTTACATGGCTTTCTAAACATGCCGCTCTCTTGTGCGAGACGCGAGTGCAACGCTGATAGATGTCCCCCTAGAAAATGTGATAAATATGCGTTCTGTGTGAACGGCTTGGTTTTGGTTTTGACGTAAACAACATTATCTCCGCATTGATGTTCTCTTTTTCCGCAATATTTTGTATGAACAACGTAGCAGCGCGGCATCTAGTGGGTTCAACTGGATAGGCTAACAAAAGCATTCAAATGCAATGACACCTACATCGTCGTCGCATTTCTTGCTCCACTGATAAGGCTGCCTGATGCACACCTAAAATTCGAATGCAACGTTTTTGCTTTTGAATGTGGATTTTTATTTTAAATTCGACGAATATTCGAAATTCTAATTTTTTTTGACAGCCCTAGTGTGTTCTGGGTGGTTACAAAGGTGTTGTTAGGTGGTGTCTAGGCTAGTGTGTTTGAGTGGTTGTTAGGTGGTTGCTAGGGCATTCTAGCTTGTTACAAAAGTGTTGTTAGGTGGTGTCTAGGTTAGCGTGTTATGGGTGGTTGTTAGGGCATTCTAGGTGGTAACTAAGGTGTTGTTAGGTGGTGTCTAGGCTAGTGTGTTTGAGTGGTTGTTAGGTGGTTGCTAGGGCATTCTAGCTCGTTACAAAGGTGTTGTTAGGTGGTGTCTAGGCTAGTGTGTTTGAGTGGTTGTTAGGTGGTTGCTAGGGCATTCTAGCTGGTTACAAAAGTGTTGTTAGGTGGTGTCTAGGTTAGCGTGTTCTGGGTGGTTGTTAGGGCATTCTAGGTGGTAACTAAGGTGTTGTTAGGTGGTTTCTAGGCTAGTGTGTTATGGGTGATTGTTAGGTGGTTGCTAGGACTTTCTAGGTTGACTGAGTGATTGCTAATGCAGAGTTTGGTGGTTTCTAAACTAATGTGTTCTGGGTGGTTGTTAAAGCATTTAAGGTTGTTGCTAGGGCATTCTGGGTGGTTACTATGGTGTTGTTAGTTGGTTTCTAGTCTAGTGTGTACTGGGTGGATGTTAGGTGGTTGCTAGGGCATTCTAGGTGGTTACTAAGGTGTTTTCTAGGCTAGTGTGTTCTGGGTGGTTGTTAGGTGGTTTCTAGGTTAGTCAAGTCAAGTCAAGTCAAGTCACCTTTATTTATATAGCGCTTTTAACAATACAGATTGTCAAAGCAACTTTACAGCATTACATAGGAAAATAGAGTGTCAATAATGCAAAAGGACAATAGTAAACACTCAATTTTCAGTTAAAGGCAGTTCATCATTGAATTCAGTGATGTCATCATCCAGCTCAGTTCAGTTTAAATAGTATCTGTGCAATCAAGTCGACGATATCGCTGGAAATTAAGTGTCCCCAACTAAGCAAGCCAGAGGCGACAGCGGCAAGGAACCTAAACTCCATCGGTGACAGAATGGAGACAGAATGGTTAGTGTGTTCTGGGTGGTCGTTAGGTGGTTGCTAGGGCATTCTAGGTGGTCACTAAGGTGTTGTTGGGTGGTTTCTAGGTTTGTTGTTGCTAGGGTGTTCTGGTTAATTGCTAAGGCATTGTTATGTGGTTACTAGGCTAGTGTGTTCTGGGTGTTTGTTAGGCTGTTGCTATTGTGTTCTAAGTGGTTTATATGGCATTCTGGGTAGTTGCTAAGACATTGTTAGGTGGTTTCTAGGCTAGTGTATTATAGGTGGTTGTTAGGTGGTTGCTAGGGTATTCTGGGTGGTTGCTAGGGCATTCTGAGTGATAGCTAATGCAGAGTTAGGTGGTTTCTAAACTAATGTGTTCTGGGTGGTTGTTAAAGCATTTTAGGTTGTTGCTAGGGGTTTCTGGGTGGTTGCTAGGTGCTTGCATGCCGCTTTGGAGTGGTTGTCAGGGCATTCTGGGTGGTTACTAAGGTGTTGTTAGCTGGCTTCAAGACTAGTGTGTTTTGGATGGTTGCTAAGGCATTTTAGGTTGTTGCTAGGATGTCAAGTCAAGTCCCGAGTCAAGACGGGCAAGTCCAAGTCGAGCTGCAAATCCTCAACTTTAATAACTTACTAATACGTAAAACAGACGCTCATTTATCGCCACCTGAAGGTGAAGGCTATTCCTTCAACAAATATTGATAATAACAAATTATTTAAATTCCATGCTGTCTTGGAGACGGGTGCAATAATAGTTATATTCATGAAGTTTCACTGTTTTTATGATATTCTTCATTCTGCTAAATGCATATATTAATATTCTTCATTCAAAATAAAATGTTAATATTTAAATAATCCTAGGGGATGAGTTAATATCTCGAGTTAAATGTCTCTTGGCCACAATAAACCGAACGTGTCCGGCACCACACCGCTCACTATAGCAGGTTTAATTATGTTACTAATGTTACTAACAGGTTACTAATTATGGCTGTATGTAGTGCTTCAGTCATTGATGTGTGCTGTAAATGTCCGTCAGGTTCCAGACAGGTTCCTGGAGGTCGCTGAAGTCACTCTTCAGGAGTTCTTTAGTGCCATTTCCCTCTCCAAAGACTCGGACCCCTCCTGGAAGAAAGCCATCTACAAAGTCATCTGCAAACTGGACAGCGACGTTCCCGAGGATTTCAAATCACCTTCCTACCTGTAAACAGAGAGCGCCACCTACAGGACGCTTCATGTGTGGACACATGCCGTTTATTTATCATAAGCATCAATCATAAATGTTCCTTTTTATAAGTGAATATTTTGCTGTTGACTGAAATGCAAGGTTTGTTTCATGTTGTCTTTGGAATAGGCTTGTTTATTAATAGTTTGGATTTTGGGTTTTAATGTAATATATTTTGATTTCATAATGCCACTGTAGACGAATGTGTGCTGTGTTTTTTGTTCAGATGTGTTATGATTTGTGTTTTAATGTGGATTTGTCTGTTGGGTTTCCGATGTGGGGTGTCTCATGAAACATCTGTAATAATGATTTAAAAAAAAGGTGTAAATAAGTATAATTTAGCTGTATAATAAGTGAAATATTGACGTTTACAGATAAAAACATTATATTGCATGTAGAAGCAGTTCTCTCAAATTTGGACAATATACTTATTTATCATGCACATTAGTTTGCATACTATTATTTATCATTATATCTAGCAGTGTGTGGTTTTCCATTTAGTAATAAAAGATTCATATTGTAGCAGTTTTATATTGTATGTTTTTATGGTTCAGATATATTTACTTTCTTTAAACATAAAGAAATAATTTACAAAAAAATTAATAAAATACAATTCTGTCACTATTTCCTCAGTCTTATCACAATCCAAATCCGTATGCTGTAAAAATGTAACAAAAAGAAATGCAAAAAGATTCAGATTAAAAAATGGTGCAACATTTACAGTACATGCACCCTAATAATCTGTTAATAATCGAATTGACCACTGAAAAATCTTCATGTAAAATAAAATGCCTCTAATGATCCAGTTGAGCTTGATCCAAACCAAATTTCAATCAGATTGAAATGGGTGGTGTAGATACTAAAAAGGAAAATACTAGTCATATAAACCTTTGAATCTGACGGCTTCATTAATCATTTTCAAACCAAAACTGTGCACATACGCACATACGATTCTGTGTTTTACACATCAAACAGCAGCATGCGTGTTTGGCACAATGACACCGTTTCCATTTTCGGATGAACTAGGCCTCATTTACCCTTGTTTTCCTGGTCTGCTAACTGGACTCCCCCCATGTAAGTGCGCAAAGCTCCATTGAAAACATCTTTCCCTGAATCCAGGACACTAAGGTGGAACTAATCCACGATATAAAGGCAGCGCAGGAAAGTATGCCGCACTCATTGTTTCCTGTGGCCAATTCAAGGCACATTTCTAAGGCCGCATTCATTGTGAGGGACACGCGAGCTCTCGCACCAACCGTGTCTTAAAAACAACAACAATGCATTCTCTCCTCATGAGTAATGTGCACCATGACCTCATAGCAGAGATCTGCAGCCGCTGCAGAATTCCAGCCGCGCAGCTGCTCTTCCTCAGTCGACTCATCACTGCTGCCTGATGCATCTGTCTGCATCTGCGTCTGCGTCTCGCTGGTTCTGGTGCACTAAACTGCCTTCACTATCTGTTATGTAGATTTGAGGTGTTCTAGTAATAAACTTACAAAATGTAATATGCAAATGCATTTCTGTATTTAAATTTACACTTTCCCATACATATGTGACCCTGGACCACAAAACCAGTCATAAGGGTCAATTTTTCGGAATTTAGATTTATACATGAATAAATAAGCTTTCCATTGATGTATGGTTTGTTAGGATAGGACAATATTTGGCTGAGATACAACTATTTGAAAATCTGGAATCTGAGGGTGCAAACAAATCTAAATATTGAGAAAATCATCTTTAAAGTTGTTCAAATGAAGTTCTTAGCGATGCATATTACTAATCAAAAATTAAGTTTTAATATATTTACAGTAGGAAATTTACAAAATATCTTCATGGAACATGATCTTTACTTAATATCCTAATGATTTTTGGCATAAAAGAAAAATGTATAATTTTGACCCATACAATGTATTGTTGGCTATTGCTACAAATATACCCCAGCGACTTAAGACTGCTTTTGTGCTCCAGAGTCACATATGTGCAACGTTTAGCGCAAAATGTAAATGAAATTGAAAAAGATACACTTGCCATTTCCTACACTAGTTTTAATATGTAAATTTAAAACATATTTTAACACTTTATAAGTTGCAAAATTAAAATGAAAAGGTATTACCCAAACTGATTAGATATGTTTAACGCGTCCAAGCAAAATCATCATTTAAATGCTGTTTTTCCTAAATGCATTTAGACTTACGGGTAGGACACTTGGGATTGCATTTTCATCATAGTACCGCGTGATAATTGTAGCAAAACGCTGTGAGAATTTCAGAATGCATTCTGAGCTAAACGTTGCACATATAGTATGTATGGGAAAATGTCAATTTAAATACAGAAATACATTACCATTTTGCATACTACATTTCAAAATTAATTTTGCTACCTATTTGCTTCCATATTAAACATCTATTAATCGTCCTGAAAATGCTAGTAGGGAACACTGGGGCTGTGTCTTTTCTGTTCTGTTTGCTCATTTTAGACCTCAGGATCCATTTTCCAGCATGCATTGGTGCTGCTTTACTGCTGTTTATTGTATGTGCTGTTAACCGTGTTATTACGGGTCCAAGAACCAGAAGTGCTGGAACTCTATTGGATCACTCTTTTTCTGCCTGGACGCCACAGAGACCGTAAGTCGTAAAGATCTCAAAATTGGTGGAATGCTTCCAAATCCTAAAAACTACTCGGGCACCCTCACACACATCTGTCAGACACTAGGTGGCGCTATATTACGTACTTTTGCATTTTAGTTCAGAACTCTGGAACCATAAGGGCTAGAATCACAATTATTTTTTCCTCTGAACCCTACAAGAATTCATTATAGATTTTTTTTAGTTTACCACTGGAATATTTGTAATCCATTTTAATCCCCCCAAAAAAACTGAAAAACACTTTTTCGTCCTCCATATAGGCTGTTGGTTCAATTGGCATGAAACTTGGCACACATCGTCCCAAGACCCTCATGACAAACATTTATCCAAGGAATTTTTATTTAGCAAAGCGTTGTGAAAATACAAGCCAGTGAATCAGTTTGGCCAATATCTGCTCAATGCAACATCAAAAACAGATCATTCTAAGGATGCATGCCAAGTTGCGTCAAAATACAACAACAAAAAAATCAGTCATAATTGCAACAGTTCAATCAAGGAAAATTTAATTTGATGTGTATGTTCTTCAGAATGAGTGCAAACCAAGCCATGAAAAAAATCAGTCATACAATTCCACAAAAAAGGCCATCAACATTTCAGCAGCTGATAACTTGAATTATGAATGCCTGTTAAGAAATTTAGCATATATGTACATGTGGCTGTGTACTATATTTGGTGACAATCAATCAACAAGACGATGCTTTAATAAGCTAATTTAAATACACATGTCCATATGTGTGTCCAGTTGTGTACGAAAATGTTTCCAGCACTTTGACTTTTTATGCATTTTCGAACTCAATCTAGGCCATTTCACACAAAATTCAGCATGTACCATTTTGAGACACTCCTGAAAAAAGTCATCAGAATAATTCAGATTAATTTAATTGTTTAATAGACACAAACTGGTGTGTTTTGGGTTGTATCCAATATTGACTAAATTTCCCATAAACACATTGTCTAAACTACACAAAACGTGGTAGAAATGGAGAATACAGAAAAAAAATACTGAAAAAATACAGAAACTGACTTCCAAAAACAAACCCATCTCGAGAAATATTCACTGGAGTCAAATCAGTGTGACAACTAGCCCCGGTCTATATGAAATGTATGTGCACATTCAGAAGAACCCAATATGCTGATGTTTTATTCATATCGGCAGTGGAACACATTATACTGTAAGCCCTGCGAGGCACTCAAGCAGCAATTACTTCTGAAATGATAAAATTAAAGAAATTAAAACATTAGTTTAATTGGTTTGCGAGGAAGAGTACAAAACACAAACGGTAGTAATTATTTAAGCAGTGTTCTCTTCCAATTAGATCAATACACATTAATTGATTTGTGTTTCCAATTAAAACGCACACAGTTGTGTCGAGGTGTCTCTTACATTAATTTGCTGTGAGTTTTTTGTGAACTGCAAGACGTTTGTCTGATGACTGTAATGATGAGTTCAGCAGACACTCTTGTTCTCATCAACAATGAAAGGAAGATCTGCCAAGCTAATAACTGAGCACAGTACAATTATGGATTTATAGACATCAGTTATTTATTTCATGTGCACATAAAGAACAACATGAGTTGCATCAGGTCTGGTTCTGAGTTAATAAACTGAAGCTAAACCCATAAAAAGTAAACGTTGAGTGGACAAAAATGTTAAGTGGATTAATTTTCATTTAGTTTAATTGATGCGCTAAAATAACTAAAACTGAAACAAAATAAAAATAATTACATAAAAACTGTATTGATATATATATAAAAAAACAACTAATAAAAGTGACAAAAACCCAATAAAATGACCAAAGGAAGAAAAGGAAGACAACTTAAAGCTCAACCTGAGCTGTGTCATATAATAAAACAAGAAAAATCACAGAATCCATCAAATCCATGAACACTTACCGATGCTTGTGCTGCTGATTTCCCTCCAAAATGACGTCACTTCCTGCAAGTGAGGGAACTGGCTTCTGTTAGTGTATTTAAAAAACAAACAAAAACATGATATTGAGGACAGAGCCAAAGACCTGTAAAATCATTATCAATTGAAACAATATTATAAAGAAAACAAACAAGAAACGCCTGGTATATTCATAATACATTTCTTTCATTAAATAAGCTTGTTTTCCTTTTTCAAAGTAGAAAAATTATGAGTTTCAAATAATTGTATAGTATAAAACTTCACATTTCAACATATATGCCATAAAACCATACACTGTATGATGTTTCTCTTCACCTGTAAATGTCTATAATTATGGAATAGAACTGACATTAAATATTGTTTTGATATATATATTAAGGAGCATTCGATCAGCTCTTTTTCGTGATTTTCCATATATGATGATGACAGCAAAAAATAAAATAAAATATATAATATATATTAATATACACAAAAAAAGAGGCCAAAAATATATATTTGCTAACATACATTTATGTAA